ACGGTAGGCATCATATATGATAGCATAGGGGTACGGTATGCATACGGTATGCATCAGATACGATAGCATAGTGGAACGGTATGCATCAGATACGATAGCATAGTGGAACGGTATGCATCAGATACGATAGCATAGTGGAACGGTATGCATCAGATACGATAGCATAGTGGGACGGTATGCATCAGATACGATAGCATAGTGGTCCGGTATGCATCAGATACGATAGCATAGTGGTACGGTATGCATCATAAATGATAGCATAGGGGTACGGTATGCATCAGATACGATAGCATAGTGGTACGGTATGCATCATATATGATAGCATAGGGGTACGGTATGCATCATATACGATAGCATAGTGGTACGGTATGCATCAGATACGATAGCATAGTGGTACGGTATGCATCATATACGATAGCATAGTGGTACGGTCTGCATCATAATTGATAGCATAGGGGTACGGTATGCATCAGATACGATAGCATAGTGGTAGTGTACAGTATGCATCTGAAACCATAAGGACTTCTGCTGATAGCACGCAAATTAAGTTATAGGTTTATGTTTCACATGATTAATCAACATCAGTAATTGTACTATGATGGGCTGGTTTTAAATATAGACATGTTTGGAATCGAAGTAATAATTGGAATGTGTTTCTCACGGACAGTCTGGGTGACATAGGACTAGTAGTTAGAGCCTGATAGGACAGCACCTGCGAATTCCTAAAATTATTACAGATTAATTTATATGCTAATTGTATTGATTGTATAAATTGTATATCTACATGTATGTACTGTAAACCTCTTTAGAACGGCTTATTCTAACTAGATAGGGCGCTATATCAAATGTTGTACACTTTATTTTACTTATTCAATTAAGGAATTTGATAATAATTGTGTAATTGAAAAAAGTGTTTGTGCTATAATACGACCGAAACTTTAACAGTGACATAGATGTTAGACAATGCAGTCCTATTTGTCATAAAATGAATTCTGAAACAAAACAATCTTGATCTTAACTTCCTTATATATTTATACATTTTGCGTAGGCTGACGCTAATATCAAATCTCCATGGGCGGTTGGTTTGATTGCTACAGTACATATTAAAATACCCAGAAAGACTATTCTAGTTAGTAGGATATGGACACTCAAACGTTATCAAACCATCGGGTCCGACTACTTTGAATTATACGTGATGCATTTACAAAATTGAAATTACCCGATGACCAATTCATTGATATTATTCCGCACGTTGGGTTTTTCAGAAATATTCAGTAATCTAACAGTATTTGTTTCTGGCTAAACCTCATTGTCGAATGATAGGTACAGTAACAAAAGCAATCTGAATTAGCGTAAGATTATTTCACATTTTGGAGGTTTAAGGTCACAGTGAAATTATTTTTTAGAATTTATAAACATATGTGTATGTGTCAGAGGGTCACTACTAGTACTGCTTTTAAGGTTTACATCGAACTTATGTTTCTGCTTTTATAATATATAGCACAGGAGCTCGTTACGATCATTAGAATATATTGATCGAAACGAGGTCATGTACAGTGTATATGTAGGGTCATCCCCATACTTACGTCTTACTATCGTCTACTAATTACATATGTATATAACCTCCACATGTACCGACCGGCATGTGTATAAAGTCATATTTATCACGTTAACCCGGTATGTTTACGCTCTCCTCAACGGAAGATGCACGCGTGATCAGTAGGTTAGATCTACGCATCCTCTGGACCAATCGAGTACCGAGTAGGCGATATTTAATTTCAGACAGGTTTTAAGAAGTCATCCCCATACTTACGTCTTACTATCGTCTACTAATTACATATGTATATAACCTCCACATGTACCGACCGGCATGTGTATAAAGTCAGATTTATCACGTTAACCCTGAATGTTTACGCTCTCCTCAACGGAAGATTCACGCGTGATCAGTAGGTTAGATCTACGCATCCTCTGGACCAATCGAGTACCGAGTAGGCGATATTTAATTTCAGACAGGTTTTAAGAAGTCATCCCCATACTTACGTCTTACTATCGTCTACTAATGACATATGTATATAACCTCCACATGTACCGACCAGCATGTGTATAAAGTCATATTTATCACGATAACCCGGTATGTTTACGCTCTCCTCAACGGAAGATGCACGCGTGATCAGTAGGTTAGATCTACGCATCCGCTGGACCAATCGAGTACCGAGTAGGTGATATTTAATTTCAGACAGGTTTTAAGAAGTCATCCCCATACTTACGTCTTACTATCGTCTACTAATGACATATGTATATAACCTCCACATGTACCGACCAGCATGTGTATAAAGTCATATTTATCACGATAACCCGGTATGTTTACGCTCTCCTCAACGGAAGATGCACGCGTGATCAGTAGGTTAGATCTACGCATCCGCTGGACCAATCGAGTACCGAGTAGGTGATATTTAATTTCAGACAGGTTTTAAGAAGTCATCCCCATACTTACGTCTTACTATCGTCTACTAATGACATATGTATATAACCTCCACATGTACCGACCGGCATGTGTATAAAGTCAGATTTATCACGTTAACCCTGAATGTTTACGCTCTCCTCAACGGAAGATTCACGCGTGATCAGTAGGTTAGATCTACGCATCCGCTGGACCAATCGAGTACCGAGTAGGCGATATTTAATTTCAGACAGGTTTTAAGAAGTCATCCCCATACTTACGTCTTACTATCGTCTACTAATGACATATGTATATAACCTCCACATGTACCGACCGGCATGTGTATAAAGTCAGATTTATCACGTTAACCCTGAATGTTTACGCTCTCCTCAACGGAAGATGCACGCGTGATCAGTAGGTTAGATCTACGCATCCTCTGGACCAATCGAGTTCCGAGTAGGCGATATTTAATTTCAGACAGGTTTTAAGAAGTCATCCCCATACTTACGTCTTACTATCGTCTACTAATGACATATGTATATAACCTCCACATGTACCGACCAGCATGTGTATAAAGTCATATTTATCACGTTAACCCGGTATGTCTACGCTCTCCTCAACGGAAGATGCACGCGTGATCAGTAGGTTAGATCTACGCATCCGCTGGACCAATCGAGTACCGAGTAGGCGATATTTAATTTCAGACAGGTTTTAAGAAGTCATCCCCATACTTACGTCTTACTATCGTCTACTAATGACATATGTATATAACCTCCACATGTACCGACCAGCATGTGTATAAAGTCATATTTATCACGTTAACCCGGTATGTTTACGCTCTCCTCAACGGAAGATTCACGCGTGATCAGTAGGTTAGATCTACGCATCCGCTGGACCAATCGAGTACCGAGTAGGTGATATTTAATTTCAGACAGGTTTTAAGAAAAACAATTCTACTTGCGGGGGTCAAATTCTGGGTTAAAAATCATGATTTTTTGCATATTTTGGTGTTTTTTGATATGGTAACGATGGTTTTCAGAAGTCCCAAATCTGGGGAAATTGCTTTTTGAAAAAAAAAAATGTTCTTCTAAAAAATACCTATTAAACATGTAGTTTATGAATATATATATATATGTAGGTGTGTTGTGCAGGATGATTCCGCTATCCATGTTTATCCGAGAGATGCCATTTATTTTTAGGGTCAAGCCATTTCTACTGTACTCTGCCACCCCAGTGTCGTAGCATACATGCATGCTTGTATGCTCAAACATACACTAACACTTTCAAGATTTTTTATTCAAGATATCTTTATACATTTCATTTTTCATGATTAATATGGACCGTCCGTATCAATCATAAAAAAGGAAAGAAATGACAAGAATCTTCTTGAAAATTTTAGTCTGCTAAAATAGTGTTGTTATGTTATGTCTATACACATTGACAAATCATCAAGATCTATGTAAATCAAAAACTACTTAAAGAAGTATAATATTAAACTGTATTCATATAAAAAGATCGGATTTTCATTGTTAATAATCAAAATAAAAGGAAGTCCCAGAACATGGGAGATTGCTGCTAGGGCCTAGAAGATTTTTTTTTCAGCTAGCATTCCCCCTATTCCGGCGCTATGCGCCTAGGACGGTCGACCGTCAGAATACACTCCGAAAAATGATTAGCTACGTCACTCTGACCGAGAGACGCCCATATTACCACTCTAAAAAATAATCTGCTGTTAACTCCACGTATATTTTCGTCTCTTCAGATGATTTTTATTTTTGGCCATTATTTTTCTTTTATTAAATCGACCATTTCCCTCTCCGTTGTATGATGTATTGAGTGAGTGTTAATAATTTCTCGTTTGGCAATGGTGCTTTTTCAGCGTCTCTTTGTTTTGTATTCATATAATCTATCGTACTGTTGCATGTGACTATCATTTGTATCGTCTATGACAAGGATGTGTACCCCACCTTTGTTGTTATAAAAAAGCAGAAGTCAATTTTACTTCTGATCTGTGTATGATTCAATTATTAAACCTATCATTTATTAAATGATCATTTTGCAACAATCACAGATTATTAGTTGTTTTCGTCACAGATAACACTTCAACAAAAACAAGATTCGGTATCTTATTTTGTTTTGCAGACAAAGATAACATTTCAGTTCAAAGTAAAGGTGATTCCAAAATCGTCTATAAGGTGACAATGCAATTAGTAAAACAATGTACTTAAGACATATAATAGGATGCATTGTTATACCAATATCACATAAAATATGTAAGATTTTCGGAACAAACATATAAAATAAGTTTCAATTAAATTCAAATATGCTATCCGATTAAAATATGAAATTGCACTTACGAAAAATTAAATCTTTCACATCTCATCACATCTAAACAGTAACCATTTATAAAAGCGGAGGCATTTCAAACGTCGATTTATTTAAGTTGTTATAGTGGTATGCATCTGAAACCATAAGTTATTTTGCCGGTGTAATATTGTTCGCAAATGACATAAAAATAAACAAATTAAAACTGAGTGAAAGTATATATACAAAATCTTACCGGCGTTGGTGTATCTATCAACTGGAGACATTCATCAAACGGCATCTGTCGGAATTTGTATGTTGTCCCCAGTCTGTCCGTTATTTAACCTAAAGACTACTACCATATGTGAACATGTTCGCAAGTGTTTTCTTAAAACTCTTTATTTCTTGTAATCAAACAGTGACAACTTTGATACGAATAATAAGGAAGATATTAATGTTTATAAACATTAAGTATACATTGGTTTCAAGTGATATCGTTAAAGCGTACATCTCCTTTCACCGGAAATGGTACATCGTTGTTGAGATGATTACTGACAGATCTAGAGGCCTTTGTAAATAAGATTGAATCAGTTACAACCATTGGTGATAAGTGCTCTCTGAAGTACTTGAAGCCCCATTTCTGCCAAATACGAATCGGCGTTTTAAACTTTTCTTTCCGAGAAAATGTTAACGATTACGCGGCAAACGAATTGCCTACCTATCAGAAATGAGCAAGACCTTCATCATCACTGGTATTTAAGTATAGCTGTAAGTATCAGGTTCTAATATAGTGTCGTTTCTGGAAACTCTATTTGTTTTAGTTTTGTACACATTTTATGCTAATTTCAAACTAGCACTGTTTAAGTCAGTCATCCTCGGTACTCCAGGGGTTACACTGACTTACACTGTCTGAACCCTGGAATATGTCATGACGAAATTAAAGGCAGCTACACTGTATTGTATTAGACTAAGGTATGAAAAAAAAACAGATCAATTTATAGGCTGATATCTATCCTCTGAAGATTTCCGAGGAGCGACACCAGACTTCAAAGCCTGTCAATTGAATCGTTACGCCTCCGCACGGTCCTTTTGCTGTTCATCAAGCGTTTGTTTTTTCATAGATGTGTTACTATGCTGAAGTCGAAACGATTTCGCCACCGCCTCTTAAACACCCTTCATATGCATCAGTTTATAAACATGTAAGTCGCGGTGAATTTCTCCATTCACATTACGAGCCATGAATACTACTACCCATAAAATCAAGCTTCTTGCGACGTCCATCTTAAGCCTTACATTGTCCTCGGCCGACCACTTTTCTTCTACATGTATCTTTATCCATATTTTGTTATTTTGCTAATATTTGACACCGTTACATAGGGTACATGTATTGTGTACACTCACATGCATTCGTTTTGATTTCTGTTTTCTACATAAATGATTATTGAAATTTTACACGTAGTAGTTAAAAAGAACTAGACATATTTAATCACAAATATTATATCTTATAAAACTAAGTAATTTCCATCCGTATATTGTTTTGCGACGTTATAATAAATATACAGAGGATATTTTTTTTTCCCTTGAATACCATACATATTTTACGCGTATGAATATCAACATTTTTCACTGGTACAAAGTGCCAAATTTTGTAGCGCGTAGTATTTGACGCCAGGTTCTAATGACGTCACGCTTGACAACAAAACTGAGTGTCGTTTTGTTAAGCATCGAACTGTTTTTGTATGGTATTTATGATCTATTTGAATGACACAGCTTTGCAAGCAAACAACATAATGCGCGCTATGATTCAAATAGATCATAAATACCATACAAAAACAGTTCAATACTTATATTTACGTTTTCTCTGCCTCTTATGTTCTTTTTTAACTTATAATTTATATTTAAAATTAAAAATGCCCGCCTTATCGACAGTCCACACAATTTCGTTCAATAGTTTGAACAGCGTATTGTCGTGTGCTGATTGGCAAACAAAGTAGTACTTTGAAATTTTAACAAACACTTCAATTTTATTCCACAATTCAGTATCAATACAATTGCGTATGATATGTCTATAGGGTGATTTAAGTTTATCAATAGAACTCTGAGCTGAAAGTAATATTTGAAATTGTTTCGATTTTTCCCCGAAACAAATTTCGCGCATGGACAAATACAGTGAACACCGTAAATCCGACCTTGCCCTCCACGAGGGAGTTATTTTTGGAAGTTAATTCGAACTTTTCTCTTTGCTCATTTTGTGAAGAATCCAGGCGTGAATTTATTTGTTGATTGTATGGGAACCTGACAACAGTCGGTAGATTCTATAACAGCCTCGTTATTTGACATGTCGTCAGAAACTGAGGAACCGTGGATGCGAGACGCGTGAAACTGATAGCGTTTGAAGTGAGTGATCTTGCGACGGAGCACAGGTTCGTTACAAATGTCTGAAATGTTTATGTGTGCTGTGACTCATATCAGTAGGTCTGTAACATATGTGTCAGTAGGTCTATAGAATATGTGTATTTCAGACATTTGTAACGAACCCCTGTTGATCAGTGCAGTGTAACAGACGATATTTCTGATAAATTGCATATGCGTTAAAATTGTTTCCATTGCCGGCATTGGTGATTTCAACCGATGTGCATTTTGTACGATATTGCAGACATTGGTCTTGTTTTCGTTGCAATAAAAGTGTTTTTATTTTATTTTTTTATTTTGCACATAAATTTACAATGGCATTGTCAAATCTCACAATGCCCAGCGATATTTCAGCAGCCGTCATGCTTATTTATATTGGATATTGTAGTTCCGGTCAGTATTGTATTAGTACGCTAAGAATTGCGTCTCGTGATGCATGGTAATTAAAGTCCCATCAACGACACAGCTTTCAAAGAGGCTATATAGTGACAATGCCATGCAAATGTAAATATAATGGGTTGTTCAACACAATTCTTCCGTTTGCTGCTTTCATGTGATTTCCACAAAAATGATATTATTTGTGTTGTTACATAATATATGTTAAAAAACAACGACTTATTCTGCCGCCGCTTCATCACCACTTAAAATTGAAAGTCTACGCAGTAAATATACCGTTCTGATTTGACAATATTTATGTGATATCTTCACATGTGAAGATATAATATGTCGTATGCCTTTCAGTGAAGATATCAGCCTTTAACAATTGATAATTCATGATGTTTAATAGTTAGAATGTAATAAAGTGTTTCAATTTTTGGAACCTGGAGATATGTATAAAAATGTTCTTCTCATAGGATAAAAACGTTATGAGAGGTGAAGGTGACACACACATAGATATAAAGGTTCTAACGAGAGCTAGTTAATTTTCATATTGTACGAAGACATTAGGTAGACTGAGTGCCTTTTACAATTTGAAAAAGATAACAAAAGAAAGTGAAAAATATGTACATATGATAACCAATCATCGCGTGTTTTGTGATTTGTTTCTCCGATAACGTTCTTATTCTATCTAGAAAAACGTGTAGGAGAAGACAAGGGACCACATTCATGCTGATTAGTTATAATGTTTATTCAACTCTGTTAGGTGAATTCTGAGAAAACATGCATTAACAACATATTTTGTGGGAGAAGTAAAAAAGACATGAAATAATTTGCCAAAATTTCAAAATACAATTAAGTAAATACAAAAATGATATTGTAAAATTTATAAAACAGTTGCAAAAGTTTCATTTATATAACACTTTATGATTTTTTTTTTATTAAAGCTCTTTAAAGATGAACAATATCTCTTTCTGTCACTCCTGACTTCGTTTTTGGTCTTTCTTTCTTTCTTTACATGTTCTCCTCTGTCACCAAAGCACCGTTTCCCTACTTCTCTATCATAATCAATTAACCATATTAAGTATAAGGAATACAGCTAGATTGTGTGGTTGATGCCTCGAATAACCTTTCTTACGACATATATGAATGCATTTTTTGAACAATATACCAGTGTACAGTAAAACCTTTTGATATCAATACGTGTAAATGTACGACAATTCGGTTCAAATCATACAAATCTTTCGTAACTACTCTATATATCATCATTACGGCATTTGTTTGGACAATCACCAACGCGTTAAAGGATGTTTTACGAAATGATTTCATATTTGTTGTCAGACTTTGAATAAATGTCAGAAAATTATCATCTAAGTCCCCGGAACAAGATATATCCAAAGATAAATTGTAGCTTGACAATTATTTTTTAAACATGACATTTGCTCGTCCTTTATGATATAACAAACCTGATAATATACATAGGTTGTCTTTCTTCAACTATTTAACGCGGGTATTGACACAATGCAATATATGATATAGGGTATCTTGTCTGGAGGAAATGATTTCACGAGATTATTGAAAAATTGCGCCTTTTTCATGTTTGTGTGAATATCCATGTCTTTAAAAGACAACAAATGGGAAGAAGGCACATATCCTTTTGTAAATAATCGAACTTCCCTTCAATATACTTATCTAGATTCGAGATTCGACAACAAAACCCCCCAGAACGGGTGAAGTGAAGTCAGGAAAACAAATACCCTTGCAGTGCAAGCGGATTGCCCATTTGTTTTGTGTGTGTTCATGATGACCTCCGTGCGCGTTGATGTTATGGTATGGTACTTTTTTCCAACAATGACTAAAACCTTTACAGTTACTGTATTTTACTCAGAAATGTAATAGGACATAATCCATTCAAATGACATTTAGTTGTTAAATATAAAAGAATGACACGTCTCGCTCCACTTAGCGATTTGCATATAACAACACAACGCAAATATCTTTTTTTGCCTCTAGCTCACAGAAAGGACGTATGGCGGTGGGCGTTTAATCAGTATATGTACATGCACAACATTACTAATAATCCATGACAAAAACCAAAATGCAATCAAAATACATATATACAAATAACCCCTCGTACATATACCGATAGTTAACAGCTTGCCGTCATCTGACGTGAAAAAAACATTTACACCGCAGTCTGACGTTGACTGCGCGAAACGACAATAAAGAGACACCTCGATCATCGAAATCAACCTGCACGCCCAGGAAAAACCGGAGATATCCCCCGGAAAACGGTAACCAAAAGCGGGACAAATATTATTTCCCTGCAAGTCCGATTTCTCTGACGTGACAGTTGGACCGCTGTCTTCTCTTCTATAACAGACCTACTGAACCACCCTAAGAAAAAAAACGAAAAAAAACCTATCCATCCTTAAGTTTAGAATGAATCGTACGCTTACCTGCTAAATGACTCGCATTCTGCTCTACGTAACTTTTAACATGAACAGGTGGTTCCTCACCAGCTCCGTGTACAAATAAGCAAGTGCGCTCTGACACATCTCTACTGTATCCGTGTCGTTTCCAG